TTTTTTTTTTTTTTTTTTTTTTTTTTTTTTTTTTTTTTTTTTTTTAACTGTCCAGCAGAATTAGGACTTCTTAATCCTTCCTTGAAGTAGCTGAGTGAAAGTGAACTAAGGAAGGGAAAAAGGCTGTTAGGTAACAAAACACTGAAAAAGCATAAAGGCTCGAACTCAAAGGGGGTGTACAGTGCCTAGCACAATGGGATTCTGATCCCTGCTTAGAGTCTGTCAGTGCCATTGCAATATAAATACAAATAGTAAACTAAGAAAATGGAGAAGTAAAAACATAAAACAGCCAGAAATGAGAGACTAAATAATACATGCATGGAGGGGTTACTGCACCTTCACCAGAATTGAGCAATACTCCCTTACTCTCTAGAAAATGAAAAGAGGACAATTGAGGTGTCTGTTCCAGTGGCAGAAACTATGGACCGCTCCAAAGGAGATACTCCTTCCCCTGCCAGTGGGACCAGCGTAAGAAGGTAAAAACCAACTAATTAGACTGTCTGTCTGAGTGACAAACAAATGGTGAGACAGTTTTTCCTACTGTGTTAAATTACCGTATTCTCCCAGATATGATTGGCATTCTATTGTTTCATCACAGTCTAACCTATAGAGATGGGAAATGGATTGTAACAGGGTTGCAAGTGTCTTCTGTTGAACTCACTCTGTTAGCAAGCATTGGAACCCTCTTGGGAGATTGACTGACTGATCCCTGCTGACCCTTTGTGGCAGGCGTAGCTTAACTCTTACCTACTGCAGTGACTGAAGGGGTTCTTCTGTCACTGTAGGAAAGCCACCTCTGCAAGAGGTGGTAGCTAGGTCGATGGAAAAATTCTTTCATTGACCTTGTGGTGCCTACACCGGGGCTTAGTTTGACTTAATACATTGCACAGGGCATGACATTTTTCACAGCCTAGCTCGGTAGTGTAGACCAGCCCCAAGGAATTAATCTGGCAAGCAGGCAGTGTGGTGTAGAGTGAGCAGTGAAGTCACTTCCTGTTGGATTTACTACTTGCTAACACGTTGAGTTGGTGGACAGCAGCTCTTGTGACAATGAAATTGGGTAATACTTTAAAAACAAAAAACCTGGAATTTAGTTGTTTGGGGTAGAGATGAAGATTTTTTTCCCCTCATTATAACAAAGGAGGATGTTTCCATTTCAGTAACTTTTCAGTACTTGCAGTTGGCCTAACAGCACTGCTTGTGACAAAGATTTAAGTGGTTTGTTGGAGGCTGTTGATCTTTTACTAGTATTCACTTCCTCCTTCTCTCTTCCACCTCATATGCCTATAGATCTACGGGTGCTTCTAGCAAGACTTGTTCTCCATTAAGTACCACTTCGGGAAGTATGAAATTGACACCTGTCAATCAGAGGACAAAGGTAAAACTTAAATAAGGCTGCATGTTAGCATCCTCTTCGGCTATGGGCTTTCACTGCTGTGTTCTACATATGTAATGAGGATTCTAGACACATACTGTGGGCCAGATTCTGCTCTGTTTATACCTGTGTAAGTCCAGAGTAAATCAACTGAAGTAAAAAGTTACTCTGATTAATAACAGAAATCAGAATCTGGGCAGCATGCAGGGGACTCCCTGGTACTATGTTAATGTAACTAGTCACTTGCCTCTAGAGACTTGGGTTAAAGCACTACAAGGTACAAATGAAGTACAGTAGAACCTCAGAGTTACGAACTGACCAGTCAACCACACACCTCATTTGGAACCGGAAGTATGCAATCAGGCAGCAGCCGAAACAAAGAAAAGCAAATACAGTATAGCACTGTGTTAAACGTAAACTACTAAAAAAAATGAAAGGGACAGCAGCATTTTACTTCTGCTTTATTAAGTCAATGTTCAGTTGTAAACTTTTGAAAGAACAACCATAAGTTGTTCAGAGTTACAAACATTTCAGAGTTACGAACATCCTCCATTCCTGACGTGTTCGTAACTCTGAGGTTCTACTGTAATGTTAGGACTGTATTCTCCCAGTGGGCATTTGTGCACATAGTACCACCATAGAATTTGGTACCTCTAACAGTCTGACTAGAAACAACCAGTGACTGAAAAAGCAAACAGGGTTTCAAGTAAAGATTGAGATACATTTGGGAGAGCCATAGGTGGGATTGGGATGCTGCAAACTTGCACAGAACCTACTTGGCCTGTCCATGGCAATAGTCTGTGATGTCAGTCACTTTCACTTGTACGAATGTTAAATCTTTTTCTGAACGTAAAGAAAAATGGTCAGAATCTAGATTTCCAGTATCCTGCTGAGGGTGAGATTTCCTTCAAAGCTTCCTTGTTTAACAGGAGGAGAAGGAACACTCTGTAGAGTAACACTTTCTGCTGGGCCATTGTCTGATCAGCATTTGTATTCTTGGGAGGCGTCATAGTGCTGATAGCAGAAAGAGAAGTTATAGTAGTTCTCACATAGTGGGAAGCTAAAGGATCTGTAGCAGCTGGTAATAACTGGTAAGCTTGTGGGAGTGAAAGGACTGTACGAATCTCACTTCAGTTCCTCTCCCCACCCCTCTGTCAACAGGTGGAGAGGCAAAGAGAAGAAGGCTGGTTTGCACTATCAATGCATATCATGTAACTGAAGCTGAATCACATAGACTTTATTTTTTATATATATATATATATATGTATTTATTTTTGTGAACCACCTGTAGATTTCTGCAGTCCCTCTCCGCAAAACATGAATTTTAACTCTCAAAGTGCCTACTTGTCAGTGCCACTAGTATACAGAGATCCATCAGCTTATTATGTTTATGCTCTCCTTCAGACTAATTCAGTTGCAATTACAGCCTTGAGAGTGGGACACAGAAGGTGAGAATAGAATGTGACATTCCAGTCCCTATTGGATGAAGAGGAGCTAAATTGAGGCTGATTTTAGCCCATTTCTATAGCTCAGCAATGCAGTCACCCACATTAGACATGCTGAAGAAAGGGGGTTCTGGAGAAGACACCCAACTATTTTTTTCATGCACCATCTCAGATACCTGTCAGCACAAGATAAGGAAATAAATAGGACAATCCAGTTGAAAAGAGGTGTGTGTGTGTGTGTGTGTGTGTGTGTGTGTGTGTGTGTGTGTGTG